TCCTTCTCCTCCTCCTCCTCCTCTTCCTCCTCCTTCTCCTCCTCCTCCTTCTCTTCCTCCTCCTCCTCTCCTTCCCTCCCTGTGGCTGTTGTTGCTGGAGGCTGAGGCTGGCTCTGACCCATTTGAGGAGCTAATGTAGGACTCCATGGATCAGAGAGCCCACTGGTCCTGGTTCTCCAGGGTTCTGGGGAAATGCAAGATCCTCACAGAGAAACCGTGAACATTCTCTCTTCTTAATACTGAGAAACCAAAGCTTGGTGTTGGGCGGGAGCAAGGTTGGAGGGAAGGGGACAGCAGGCACACGTTGCTGGGTATAAAAGGAGAACAAGTGGCCCCGCGTGAAGGGCCCCCATGGCACAGAGACCAGCTATGAGGTCTTATTTACCTACCGCCCGAGCCTCAGTTGGCTTAAGTGGAAAATGGGGATATTAAAAATGCCTGCCTCATAGGAGGGTTCTGTGGATAAATCCATTAATGCTCTGGACCCAGGATTCCCCATGTTCCAGAACTTTCCTTTCCATACTAACCAGTGCAGGTTTCTGTCCCTGACTGTGAACCTGCCAGGTCCCAACCAGACATATTTTTTTTCTTTTTCTTTTTTTTTTTTTTGCTACTGAGAAAAAAGCAGAACTTGAGAGGTGGCACTTTCTTGCTAACAAGGAACGAGGTCTGGGGACCCCAGAAAGTGCCACCTCTTTGTAGCAGGAGCTGCAGAAATGTGAGCTCACAGGATTCATAGCCAGGCAGGAGGAAGGAAGAGTTAATAAAAATGACTCACTCCATTGCACACACACACACACATACACACACACACACACACACCCGATTTTTCTATTTCCTATTCCATTTATTTACAATCTGATCTTTATTATTTCCTTCCTTCGGCGTTGGCTGGATTGCATTTGCCTTTTTATTTTTATTTATTTATTTATTTTTTTGAGTTCCTTCAAACCCAAACTGAGCACGTTGGACAGAGGCCTTCTTCCTCGTCCAATATAAGCATTTAGGGCTATCAACAGCCTCTAGTATTGCTTTCCTAATCTCCCACAATTTTTAGTATGTTATGTTTTTTTTCATTTTATTCTGTTTTCAAAGACTTTAGGATTTCCTTTTCCATTTCTCTCTTGGCCCCCCGAGGGGTCACTTTAAAGTAGGCTCCTTACTTCTTAGAAACTTGGGGGCTGTCCAGGTGGCTCTCAGTTATGAATGTCTAATTTAGTTGGATTCTGGCCAGAGATTATTCTTGGTGTGACTTAAATCAGTTAAATTTTTTTTTTTCCCGTGGCCCCAGATTCTGGTGGTGCAAAACAGGAGAGTGAGGGTCTGCTGTGTCTGGGTGGAGTGTCCTGGGGGTGTCTGGGAGGTCAAGTTCACAGACAGTGTGATTGATTGATTGATTTGTTTGTTTTTGTGCTGGGGACTGAACCCAAGGGT